TTAAATTGGAGCGTCTTCAAAAGCGAATTCTATAACTAAATCTATCCACCACTAATCCGTGATAAATTTGCCGATATTAAAAATCAATCAGTAATTTCATTTATCAATAGTCAACTATGACTTTAATTCAACAAAAATCAACAAACTACGACCTTTCCATGCATACCATGCACCTCATCTTTATAAAGGTGTTTGGTCTCACCATCTTGTCTTTGACACACCCTGCTTCTTTAAAACAAGTTAATGACAATCTGACTTTTTTGTCTAACTTCAAAAGAATATGAAATCCTTCCATCCTCTACATAAGTTATCAATTTCCTAGCAACAGCTAATTGTTACAAATTGTGACCTAAAAATAAATAAAAAAAATTCCATATTATTTATACAAGTGAATAAGACTTAGTTCCCTCCTCCATATGCAACACCGATAACTCCTCCTAATGATATGCCCTCACGAATAAAATTCTTGATTAAGAATAGACTGATGAATATTTATTTAATCTACTATCCTCAATCGGTGTCATTCTGATAAGTACCTAAACCAGTACTAAATCCTCCTTTCGACTTAGTAACAACTTCCGGAATTTTTCAAGAAGATGTTCAGTAAATCCAGCACCTCAAATAAATCATCATGACGTTACAGTGATCTTTATTTACCACAATCTCACGCATCACAAAATATTAATAACCACCATTATCATGGCATTGTAATATGACACAAATCCATACCTAGAGTAAAGTAAATCAAACTAATCATACTAGATTATTTGACTCACAGTGATGGTTTAACTATCCCATCCCAAACAATATACTAGAATGACGCATGTCCAGGTCTAATAGATTGGCTAGAATTATGTGTATCTACCATATCCTACGACCGCATGCTCACAAATCTAGCGTAAATAGCGTTATTACTCCATATTATTAAAAACAATAGTTGGCTGATCACATACTTGTGTCCCCAACTAAACCATATACCATTAACCAAAATAATCAACGAAAATAAAACACGTATGACAAACACACTAGCACAAAATATACTCCTACTTAGGACATCGTTCTTTCTAGAAAAGAAAGTCTCATTTGAAATCAACACTGCCAAATTGTTTCACAATTTCCTTTTATAGTTTCGTAGGTAATCATCCAACCTCGAAACATATCATTTAAACAGAGCTTAAAAGCAACATATGTTTGCCTAAGCAAATACTAAGGGCTTAACCCTCATCCTCCCTACACGCTGAATGTAAACTATCTAACTTGTCTTTATAAAGCGCATTAGAACGTCACAACATAATACCAATACCTTACTGAATGTGATACAAAATCATACGTTTCGTTCTGATAAGAACTCCATCAAATCCCCAATCTTCTGAAGAGTACTTATTATATATCTCTTTTAGAGATGATAAAACAGTTTAATTATAGTAGATTAATCAATACCAATTCTACAAATAACATTAGCTATATAACCAGTAAACAAGATCACCCTCGCGCGATCATCCATATTCCAGATGTAGTACCCTCTCTCTTGGATACGCTGAAATCTCCTCCATTAGGATCCTCTTTGGACTCTTAATCCCCGCTTATCTCCTTTTTGAGATCAACTGAAGTCGTGTCGGCCCCGATATGCGGTGACCTATCATGCACATCTAAATCTTTCCTTGGCTTATACTTTAAAGTAGCTCCAAACGAACCTAAACCTTTGATCCCTAATTCTGGCTTCGGGCAATGAAATCAATAACGTACTCCTTTACTCCTTTGGATCTTTATCGCTGTCGCCTTGGACCCCATCCTTTTCCTAGTGCCAACCATTCTGTAACTACAGAATACAATTGACATCAGTTCCTAGGCATATTTCTACGTTCCATCATTCCACATTCAAATAGAAAACATCATTATGATTGAGTCTATTTAAATTTATTTAAACCCAAACCTAATTTCTATTTAATGTTCAGGAATCCTAGGCATGTTTCTACGTTCCATCATTCCACATATATGAAAAATACATAATGTAAACATATAAAAATTCACACCGGAAATCAAATCAAAATCATGCATTTATCAATTCATAACACAAGAACAGATATGAACCAATTTCATAAAACATATGTTTTAATCCAATTAAACATGCATAATTATTTAATTTTAAGTGTTTAATAAATTCTGGAATTTCCTAGGCATGTACAGAAATACGAATCAAAGGGAAAGAGATAGAAGAATAACTTGCCTTAAACTTTCAGATTGAAAGTTAAACTTCTTCTTCCTTGATCTTCTCTCTAAAGGGTTTTCTCCTCCTTCCTTCCTCTTCCTCATTCTCTCTTTAACTCTCTCTCTCTAGAATATATTACGTGATATATTTTCACTCCTTTTTCAACCTATAGTTGTGTATTTATAGGCTAAATAATAACCCTATTCCTTTCCCCAATCCAAGTCAACTTAATAAAGAAAAATAAAAAATGAAAATATTAAAAAGGTAACTTAAAATATATTACGTATATAATCTATGTATATCCTTATTAATTAAATAAAATATATACATTAGATTATTTATTAATACTAAAGTTACCATAATATTAAAAAGGTAACTTAAAACATGTTACGTATATACTCTATCTATATCCTTATTAAATAAATAAAATATATACATCAGATTATTTATTTATACTAAAGTTACCATAATATTAAAAAGTAACTTAAAACATGTTACGTATATAATCTATCTATATCCTCATTAAATAAATAAAATATATACATCAGATTATTTATTTATACTAAAGTTACCATAATATAAAAAAGGTAACTTAAAACATGTTACATATAATATATATGTATATCCTTATTATATAAAATATATACATCAGATTATTTATTAATACTAAAGTTACTATAATATTAACAAATTACTTTCCTTTCTATATATATGTATATACATATATATCTATATATATACATATATAACTATTCATGGGTAATTATCCATACCCATCCAACCTCCTATCCAAGTAGTCCATGGGACCAATTAGTTAGACCATTACCACTAACCATAACCATAAAATAAAATAAAATAAAACATTTAAATATTTAATTTACAATTAATTACAATTAATCAAATACATCATTTAAGCACACAATCTAATTAAACAAATAATACAAATAACACCTAGACAAAATACAAATAACACATAGATAAGTAGCCAATTAATCAAGTAACACTTAATTCAATTAAACACATAAACAATTAGTCAAATAATCAATTAAACAATTAAAAAAATACAATAAAAATAAATAAATAAATACCGAGACTATCCTTTTAAAATTAGGGGTATTATAATTATACAACAATTGTATAGTTTAAGGGAATTTTTTGCTCTTTTGCCTTCTTTTTATTTGTTTAGTTATAATTACATTGGAAGTATTGAAGCATCTATTGTTGAAAAATAAATTTGATTTTAGTATTTAATATTTTCAAGTATTTTTATATCCATGATGCATGTGTGAATTTAGCATATATGTTAGTGGATAGTAAATTATCTTAGTGGGAGTTAAGGTTATGTAAAATCAAAAGTCATGAGAGTTACAACAAGTAATGGTCATTTTAGTGGCTTAATGAGAGTTATGCCTATTGAAGATTTTGTTAGTGGGAGAAATGAGAGTTATGGTCATTTATATATAATTCATAGATATGTGTTCTCAAGGTGTATAACCATGTACTCTACTAATTTTATTAGGATATAAGTGAAATAAAAGTTTTTTTCCTCTATTTTTATTCTCTTCCAAATAGTATAGTGTTGTGTGTGTAACTTAGGCCACTATTTCCAACATCTATTATCTCTTCAGTGCATCAGTTCTTTCTTCTTCTTTTTTCCTTTTATGCCACTCACATTTCTAGGGAAAGAGACAGACAAAAGGAGGCATCAGAACTGTAGATGCCACCCTCTCCCGTCATTACTTGCCTCTCCCGTCATTACTTGGTTCATCTGCCAAACCAGTTTTGTTTGTCTCATTTCTTTTCTTTTTGTAAGTCTCGTCTTCCTTCCCTTCAAATATAGCAGACTTTTTTGCTGTCAAGTGTCTTTTACTCCCTCTGGTGCACATTAGATCTGTGGTACCAACATTTTGCATTAAATTATCAATTGGCATATCCAAGTGAATTGCCAATTAGAACATCCAATTTTCAGCAATTTAGCCTTCTCTAACAAAACACCATTTTGAATATATTTCTTCTAAATTATACATTGATTTCTGTTATCATAAAATATATATTTTAAGTCAATTTTTTCACAAATGCAGATATTACTATACAAAGAATAATACTTACTTACTCACCCATCAGAGTCTAATGTGATCTAATAAAAAATATACACTAAAAAAAACGTACTTCTATATAATAAAAAAAAAGCGCATTCACAAAAATATGTGAAAAAATAAAGGATATTGGACATTCCTAAAAGCCTTTTTGTTAGCGAAATCTTTTTCTACCGAAAATTTAAAAAGTTTTTTTGTGCGAAACAAATAAGTAATCAAACGATAATCCAATCAGAGATGTGGTTCAATAACAAATACACATATAATCCAATCCAATCACAAATACACACTTGTCTGACCTACAAATACACATAATCCAATCACAAATACGCACTTATTCCTATGTGATTGGTGTCAATGTAATCCTGTCCAAAGTATTTTTTCTGTTATAGGCCGAAAAGACAATTTATTTGGATTATAAGCCCTTTTGGGTTATGGGCCTAAAAGTTGCCTCTTCGGCTGTAAACCAATTATAATGGGGGCATATCAATATAGTCCATTGTTGGTGGGCTCCTCAATGTAAGTAAACCAGGCCCAAAGTAATTTGATACTAGATTTGGGTTATAAGCCCTTCTGGGTCATTGGCCTAAAAGTTGCCTCTACATAGTCCATTATTGGTCATCCTCAATGTAAGTAATTTCAGGCCCAGAGTTTTAAGCTTTGCAAAGAGAATCAAAATTTGTTACTAAATTTGGGTGGGGTGCGCCTGGTCAAGATAGTAGTGAACACCAAGGCGACACTCGAGAGCCCCAGCAGCATGCTACTGTGATGGACTCTACCCCTCAAAATATAAATTTAATATCGTGTGAGCCATTGGTCCATGTATTAGATATTAAACTGATAAGAGCAGATATAACACTTGATTTTAGCCAAAAGACCGAGAAAGGTATGCTTTGAATAAAACTGGGCCTCCTTTTTTTATAATGAGCTACTTACCCACTCTTCTTATTCACAACCAATGTGGGACAAAAGAGTTGAATCTACACACATACTTACCAAACAAAGTAGCCCAACTCTTAAGTTCTGTTTGGTTACTTGCTTAGATATTTTTTGAACACTTTTTTATTTGAAAACCAATTGAAACCTATAGTTATTTGTTAAAGTTTCAATTATACAATGGCCAGAATTAGACAAGGATAAATAGTTTGGAGATGTAAAACAAAAATTTGTTTATTTGCATCAAGATTTTGAGGGGCTCATTTAACACCAAATCGAAGATAGGCAAAAGAGAAATAAGTGACTTGAAACCATAGATCTACTAAGGTTTCAATTCGAACTTCCAATTTAGTTGTCACAATGCTTCTAGCCCAATGTGTGTGTGTGAGATACACACACACACACACACACACACACACACACACACACACACACACACTCTTCAATATTCCAAATAAAAAAGTAATAAAAAAAACATCCCTGAATTTCCTACATTCTCGGTATGGATAAATTTACTAGCCTGAAATGCCCGATGAGACTATTTGGTAGTCTTTCAAAGAGAGTAATGCTAATGACAGTCGCGACTATTAGCCATGTGGATAACCACCTCACTTGTCGCAAGCATCTTTCTTCTTGTTTAGGAGCACTGAATCGGGTTACATTTTTTTGCCTGTGAAACTGAAATCTCAAACAACATTTGGTATAGAAACTCATAAGAGAACTTGATTTTCTTCATAAGGAACATGTTAATAGTTCTACAAAGAAATGATTTCCCTTCACTTTTTTTGTAGTCAATACGCCTAACATTTTGCATAAGTAATACCCCAACATTTTGCATTGAATTGCCAATTGACATATCTAAATGAATTGTCAATTGGAACATCCAATTTTCAGCCATTTAGCCTTCTCTAACAAAACACCGTTTTGAATATATTTATTCTAAATTATACATTGATTTTTGTTATCATAAAATATATATTTAAGTCAATATTTTCACAAATGCAGATATTACGATTATACAAAGGATAATACTTACCTACTCATCACCCGTCAGAGTCTAATGTGATCTAATAACAAATATACACTAAAAAAAACGTACTTCTATATATAAAAATAATAATAATAATAATAAAATATAAAATAAAAAAAAAAATGCATTCGTATAAATATGTGAAAAAGAAGGAATATTGGACAGTCCTAAAAGCCTTTTCGTTAGCAAAATCCTTTTCTACTGTAAATTTGAGAAGTTTTTTTGTGCAATAAACAAATAAGTTATCAAACGTTGGAATAATCTGGTTCATCTTTGACTCGAAAAATTGGCAAATTTTAACATATAATCCAATCAGAAATGTGGTTCAATAACAAATCCACATGTAATCCAATCCAATCCAATCCCAAATACACACTTGTCTTACCTACAAATACACATAATCCAATCACAAATGCACACTTATCTTACCCTCTTACCCACGTATACACACTTGTCTTACCTCTGTGATTGGCGTCGATATAATCACAATGCATTGTCCAAAGAATTTTCTCTGTTATAGGCCGAAAAGACACTTTATTTGGGTTATAAGCCCTTCTATGGGCCTAAAAGTCACTTCTTTGGGTTGTAGGCCATTATTATGGGGGGGTCAAACAATATAGTCCATTGTTGGTGGGCTCATCCTCAATGTAAGTAAACTCATATTTGGGTTATAACCCCTTCTATAGGCCTAAAAGTCACTTCTTTGGATTGTAGGCCATAATTATAGGTAGTCAAACAATATAGTCCATTGTTGGTGTGCTCATCCACAATGTAAGTAAACACAGGCCCAGAGTTTCAAGCCTTGCATAGAAAATCAAAATTTGGTACTAGATTGGGGTGGGGTGCACCAGGCCAAGGCAATAGTGCAACACCAAGGCGACACTCAAGAGCCCCAGCAGCAAGCTACTGTTATGGGCTCTCCCCCTCAAAAAATAAATTTAATATCATATGGGCCATTGGCCCATATATCAAACATTAAACTGATAAGAACAGATACTACACTTGATCTTAGCCAAAAGGCCGAGAAAGGTATACTTTGAACAATACTGGGCCTCCTCTTTTATAATAAGCTACTCTCTCCACCCTTCTTTTTCATACCGATGTGGGACAAAACAATAGAAGCTACACATCTATACCAAATAAACTTGCCCAGCTTTTAAGTTTTGTTTTAGGTATGTGCTCTCATATTTTTTTAGCACTTTTGAAAGTACAAAGAATTTCCCCCAATTACAGAGAGAATTTCTTCACTCCCGATGCTTTCTAACCTCTTTTCCCTCTCGATTTCCCTTATTTATAGACGGTTACAACCTCCTCTAGCCTGGGCCTTATCTGCTCCCTTTTGCCTGGACTTAACTCTTCTCATTTTAATATGGGCTTCTGTAATGACTTTATGGACCTAGGCCCATCCCGCGAGAACTTGCTCCATCCTATTTATCCATACCCGACCCGTCATTTGCAATACGGATCATACCAAGCCCCAGTCATTTTGGTGTCCTCATCTGCCCCCAATAATCTCTCTCCTCATTAATGAGGGTGAGATTATTGAAAAGACACGATCTTGGTCTGACGGCTCGGAGCAATGACACGAGGAATCGAACGGCTAACACAAAAACCCAAGCTTCGAGATCTGCAGTGCCACTTTTTACCTTGACCTTTTGAGTTCCATGTCGCCTTTACTTTTCTTCTTTATAAATTCCGGTCTTTCAACCTTCACCCTTCTTCTTATATTTCGCTTCTACTCTCTGCTGCCTTCCTGCACATTCCGGCGATCCTTTTCAATTTCTCCGGCGAGTCTTTCCTTTTCGATTTTTAGCTATTGCGCCGCTGTTGCGTTCATCACAAACTTTCAAGGTCAGTTTTTTTTTTTTTAAATCTCTCCTTAAAAAGATGCTTTTACTGCCTAGGATTCTTCCCTTTCTCTATGGCTCCCCCTAACTTGAACGCCATTCGATCCAAGAATTACATTCCTAGTGACGTTTCTCTCAGAGTCTATCCAATAAACTTAGACGGGAGATCTGGTGAGGGTCTCCTTCCTAGGGAAGTTTTATTCTCTACCGTTCACTTGAACGTCATTAGGTTCCCCCTACACCCATTCTTTTGTTATGCTTTCAACAAGTTGGGGCTCTGCCCCCTATAAGTTAACCCAAACTTTCTTAAGGTAATTTCAGTCCTCCTGCTCTTGAATCGTGACAGGGGTCTCAATCTTGACATTATTGACCTTCTCCTCTGCTATCGGATTAATAAGATTTCACAAAATGATTTGTACTATCTGATTAGTGCTTAAATGTTGCACATTTCAGCACCTAAGCTAGGGTATTTCAGTCTTTGCATCTATCTCAATTTCATGTTTTAGCTAATTTATATTTATGTGTATTTCAGGACAATAAAGTTAAAATGAGCTAAGAACGGTCAATTAAAGCCTTTTTGGAGCCAAGTAAAGATATTCAGAAAAAGTTCAGAAAATGACAAAAAGAGGTCGTAGCCCGTTGCTCGTATAGTGTATTTATTCTTCGAAAGCGGTCAATCTCGGGCCTTTGATGATGTTCCCAAAGATAAAGAAGCAAACCAATTAGCCTGGGGCCAAAATGGAGCTAAATAAGGTTTAGAGGAAATTTCCAACTCTGGGGGGATCGATCCCCCAAGAATTGGCAACATTACAGATTTTTTTTATTGTTTGAGCTTATTTTGTGAACTATTAGGCTGTAATAGAGTTGTTACTTCAGGCCTAGTGAGCCATTAGATTAGAGTTAGTATTTATTTTATTTAGGTGAATATTATTAGAATTATTAAGTTTTATTTTTTTTCTGTATCGTAATCTGGGAAAAAGGAAAAGCTAGGGTTTGAAGAACATTTTTACAGAGGCTTTGTCTACAATTGAAGGAAGAATAAGAAGGAGCCAAAAGATGGAGATGGAGCTTGTTAACACCATGATCATCTTCTCCATGAGCTAGTTCTTCACTTAGGGCTTGGATGAGCCCTAAGTTCATGTAACCTAACCTTTGTATTTCTTTTCTTGGGGAATTATTATGTTGTAATTAAATTATATGGCCTTGTGATTTCTTTATATATACATGCTTGATGTGATAAATTAGGGTTTGTAATGATGAATTCTTCCATTGAAATCTCCAATTGATTGTATGTCTATGTATGATTAATTAGGGATTTTATTCTTCATTAAATGATTAGAACTTAATTCTTTCATTAATTCTGTATGTAATTTGTATGTCTATGTGTGATTGCTTTAGGATTATATTCTACATTAAATACTTCTTGTAGTTGTGCTTAGTGATGGCCATAACATGATACTTATTTGATACAATTGTCAATTAATTTGATGGATAAAGGCTTAATCTTGATGGGTTGTTCTACAAATTAGCTTTCTTGTTAATAGTTAATTGTAGTTAAGTTGGCAATTTGTACTTGATTATGTTTATCCATGCTTCTAATTACAATTAGTATTATTTTCTTGATTGATGTGTGCTCTTATTTGATACATTTGTGAATGTGTATGGTGGGTTATGACGTAATCTTGAATGGGTTATACACTTTAGTTTAATTGTCATTAAGTAGACAACTCATTCTTGATGTTGATAATTTATGCTTACAATTGTGATTTGTGATGATAATGTGGCTACATCTATAATTACACTAATGATTTCCCCATTAATTGAAAGTAAATGGTTAATTACATGAGCTTAGTGGTGAATCCTAACCCTAAGACTCTCTTCATATCTCTTTAATTCTTAGTTTAATTTAATTTAATTTACTTGCATTGTCATTTCTATTTCCATGTTTTCGATTTAACTCTAGTTTAATCACTTCACCAAAAATCTCTCTCTCTCTCTCTCTCTTGTGCAATCTCATTAGCACTAAAATCAAGTTTAATCCCAACACGTGTTCAATCCCTTGGGTTTGATCCCTACTCGCTTCATACTACATAGTATAAGTGTTTAGTGGTTTTATAAATTTTAAACTATGATGCCCACGTGACATTATTTCTAAACCTAAAGTGTTGTGCATTATTTTGTGCACACATTCGGGTCGCATCATAATTTTGGCGCCGTTGCCGGGGATTGATGGTTTAGTTGGAATTGAATTAGGCATTAGGGTTAATTTAATTATTTTCTTTAAATTACTATTTTCTTACAAATCCCTCTTGTTCAATTAGGTACTTGAAAAGAAGAGGAACAAGCATTGGATCTTAGCACCATTTTGACGTTGTTGTTACGGACTTTCGTGAGCTTCCTTGAATTTCTTTTACTATAATTGTTCAATTCTCTACATGCTTGCAAGATAGCCCTTGTCGAGGCTATCATATTTTTTTAAAATTCTTGTCCAAGCATAAGCCCAAAAGGAGGCTATTACTTTCTTGATAGAAAGCATCTGCCCATGTGGAGGCAATTTAATTTTGTGTATTGATATAACATGGGAGTATGGGAACATCGTATGTGGAGGTGGTGAATTATTGTTGATTGTTGCTGTGGTTTGTTATTTCTAGGAGAATTCTTCCCATTCTTGATTATCCCACACTTAATGGAAAACCAATTCTAAGATCTAGGGCATATGGATAATCTAGGTGAGTATCACCCTCTTAATGGGCATCCACCTCAAGGTGTGCATCCACCCTTGAGAATTCCCCATCTTAATGTGTTTCCACAACCCAATCAAATACAACAACCTCCAATAATACAAATTCATCCTCAAGATCATGTAGTGTATCCCCCAAATCCTCAATTATCTCTTCGGGATCACTACACTCCAAATGAATACAATACACCAACATGCATCCGATTGCCAAACTTTCGGGCAACCCATTATGAAATCAAGCCCGCAACCATCCAAATGTGCCCCATTTTCTATGGGGTGAGCAATGAAGAACCACATAAACATTTGGATGAGTTTTTGGAAGTTTATTTAACCGTGAAAATCACGGACCTTCTAGAAGAAGTCTTAAAAATGAAGCTTTTCCCTTTCACTCTTCGGGAAAAGGCTAAATATTGGTTCAATAACTTGAGGGCAAATTCAATCACATCTTGGGCTAACTACAATATGAATTTCTAAAAAAAATTTACCCCGCAAGTAGAACCGATGCTATGAGAGCTTCTATCCGTATATTCTCCCAAAATGAGGGAGAACCTTTGCATGAAGCATGGGAGCGTTTGAACGATTTGCTACGGAAGTGTCCACATCACGACATTCCAAAGTGGCAGTTAGTTCGCTGCTTCTATGAAAGCTTATCCGATACCCAAAAAGATATGGTTGATGCTTCATGTGGAGGAGCCTATTTGGACAAAAATGAAAACGATGTGTGGCATCTTTTTGATCGCATGAGCGAAAATTCAATACATCGTTCTTCATCATCCCGATTTGGCTAAAATTTAAATGAAGGAGGGAAGAAAACCTCCAGTCTTTCTCAAGTGGAGAGTTCCATGGAAATTGCCGCCGAAGTCAAAAATCTTACTCAAAAGTTTGATAAATTTTTTTGGAGCCAAAACCCGGCAATTCAATCATCCAACTCTTTCCATTCTCAAAGTGTGATGTGCATGACTTGCTCTAGTTATACTCACAATACTTTCAATTGTCCTCTTGGACAAGTTTTTTCAAGTGAGTATCAAGAACAAGTCAATGTTGTTTTCATTCATCCGGGAAGTAATCCAAATTCTAACTCCTATAATTCCGGATGGAGTGATCCTCACTTCCCTTGAAGAAATCAAGGAGGAGGTATCATTCCTCCTCTTCATAAAAATTCTCAAGAAAAGTATGTACCGCCCCACCTCCGAAATGCGAAGTCTCAAACATACCATTCTCCATCTTATCCTCTTCCAAATGTGAATCAATTCTCCAATTCTCATTCTTCAAATCATCGATCTTTTTCTCATCCACCTCAAGAGGCTCCTAGAAATCCCACTTTTGAGGATAAGGTTTTAGAAGCTTTGGGTGATCTTCGAAAGGAAAATCAAGTGTTTCATTCGCATTCTCAATCAATTGCAAAACTTGAAGCCCAAATTGGGCAAATGGTTCAAACAATGAAAG